GGATGAACAATTTTAAAGTGTTTTTGTTTTTATAAACTTTTTTAGAACAAATCACTTTCTTATTGCATATAAAAAAGAGCTTTATGAGAAGCTTTTTTATTTACATTTTAAATTTTTTATTTGTGAACAACAAATTAAAAATTTTACTCACATCTTAGTATTACATTGCTTTTTATAACAATAAGCTTTTTTCATTTATTTACCCAAATATGTTCAAAAACTCTTGTGATATATTTTATAAAAAAAAAAAAACACTTTTTCATGCACCACACAAACATTAATTAAAAAGTCTTAACTTATACTTCTATTCTTCTACTATTTTAAAATAAAAATACAAATTCTCCCAAACAAGTCCGTATTACAATCGTCTCCGACAAGTTTTAATCCTTAAAAATGTTGTGTAATAACCATATTTAAGGCCATTGAGGGTGAATTCTTATTCAAAAAAAAAAAAAAAACTATTGAAGGATATTTCTCGATATACATAAATAAAATATAATTCATAAAATTGATATATTATTCTATTGCATAGCCGATTCTTCAAGATATTTGTAGTGAAAAATATCTTTTTCACAGTAGCAATATACTCTTTAAAATTAATGCTAATGTCAGAAGTCGATGAACTAATGAATATAAGTTTGGGTTTTCATGGTTGAACGTTTTTTTCCTATAAAATCACTAATATCTTTTAATCCTATTATTAAAACGGACCTCGATAATAGATATCAATTTTAAGTTGGTCATAAAGTATTATGAGCTCTATAGCGGAAAAATGTTCCGATGATACTAAATAAATTGGATTAAATTTTTCTTGTCATAACTTGATAATGAATCGTTTTAAAAATGTATTTGATAGTTTTATCAATAGATTATTTTTAGTATAAAAAACTTTATTAATGTCTCTCTCTACTCGAAAGAGGAGAAAATGAAAATAAAAAATAAAAAATGACTAAAAGTCATTTTTTATTTCTCTTCCATTTTACACTAAATCAAAAAATCATTTTCATTTCCATTTTTTGTCTATAATTGTGTCAAACACTGTTTTAGAATCGTTTTCATTTTTTCTTTCTCAAAAAACATAAAAAACAAAAACAATTCTAAACACGGCAATAATAAAATTATTTTCATAACTGCCCTCTAAATTATATACCTTATTTTAAAATGATCCTTAATTTTTTAAAACATTTTAACATCATCCTTAATATATAAAAAAAATATAATTCAAAAAGCTCATTCCATTCAATTCCGTCTATCAAACTAGAAAACTGCATATGCGGTAATAAGAACATGTAGGCAATTAATTAAAACCGCTTTTCAAGAAAAAAATAATCGTTAATTATGTTTTTAAAAATCGTTAAACTGAAATTTTATGTATAAAAATGATCTTAAAAATCATTAAACTGAAATTTTATGTATAAAAATGATCTTAATTGAAACCTCTTCTAACTCAAATCCATAAACTCAACTCAAATCCACAAACTTTAATTGGTGAAATGAACATTGCCTTTATAATTTAAGATCTTAATGTAAAAATGAAGTTATTAAAGAAGATACCATATAGTTATGTCACTTAATAATTACCATGCTAAATTGTCCTTTTGAGTTAACCAATACGTCAAAATTTGATACTTTAGTGTGGACAAGTTACTCTTTAGAAAATCTAACAGTAATAAGATTGTTTTTTATTTTTATTTTATTTTTGTTTTGTAGTACCAAGATGTGATTTATGCTGGAAGTTTTCTGTGAGCGTTTAAGGACCCGTTTTGTTCACTGATTCGAGTTGAGATGTGACTTTATATGAGAGATTTTTACTGTAGCAAAAAAGTTAAATGTGACTGTTTATAAGAGCTTTTTATTGTAGCAAAACTTAAATTCTAAACTCGAATCGGTAAAATAAATGGAGAACGTGTTTCCCATGTTGGATTGCTGAATAAAAACGCAAATTTCCACATGTGATCCAACTGATGAAATGAACTTGGACATATTGGTGGCTTATGGAGATCAAGACATCATTTAGGGTAGATCGAGATACCTACATCTACGCGGGGTCGATATTAAGAGTCTAGTTTAGGAAATATATTTTTTACAATTTAAGAAGAAAATCTTAGAATATTTTGCTTGTCATAGCTACCTATTAAGTCAAATCGATTGGAAGAATCCATGGATTTTGTACTTGATTGAGAAGTTTCGATATGATTTTTTTTTTCACTAGTCAACCGCTAGTTATGAGTCCAGACGGAGATGTTGGTGGCCTTAGAGCTACACGTTACATGCTCTTAATGAATTGAGAGCTTCGATCGATTGTAGTGATTTTAAAAGGAGCCTTATGCGTGCTCGAATTGATGTGTCGATGAATTTTCTTGACATCAGGTCTCATTTTGCATCATCTTCCTTATGCTTCATTAGAATTTACCGACAGAACCAATTTTTTATCAAGTGTTTTGTATTGTGTATAGAGGGTCATATGCAAGACTATTAGTGTCTGTAACACCTTTTAGTTGAATGAAATTTTACCTTAAAAAATAAAATCTAAAAAACATAAAAAAGACTGAAGTTTTTGAAAGATCCATTTTGGCCAATTTACCAAATTTAATTAAAGTCTAATTAATCAAATTACCAAAAACGTAAATTAAAGAATGAACACATGAAATTTTTACGTGGTTCGATAAAAATCTATATTCACGAGACCATGTCCAGACATTGAATTTTCTACTAATTAATCAAAATACAATCTAATAGACTTATTCTATAAAAGACTTACTCTTCTAGCCTATGTGTTGTAATAATTAAATAGCATGATTCAACGATAACCACTCGTCTTTAATTTATACTAATTTGAAACTCTTCAAATCACAATCTATCCTCTGACAAAAACAACTACTTCTTCTCTTAAAGAATGATGATCGATTAAAATCCCTTCAACACTCCAAATCATCTTCTCTCAAAATAGTTGTCGCCTTGTCTGTCGAAATTCAACTTTTCCTACTCGAAACAACTACTTCTCTTGAAAGACAACTACTACCATATTACTTGTCGCCTTAGTCCGTCGAAATTCAACAAACAACTATACTTCTACTTTATTTTGCTTAAAAGTAGTGATTCTCTTAAAAACACAACAATTCCAAACCACTAATGGTATAGGCAATAGTTATTTAAAAAAAAAATAGAGAATTTATCTTTAAAAATATATGAATCTAGACTTTTATACCTTATTCTTAATAAATACATTTTTATTAGTATAATTATTTAACTAAAAAAATTATAAATTTAAAATAAAAAATAAAAATCTTAACGGTTGCTCTTTTAAAAACGTATTTGTGATTATCCTTTTATCTACCGAATGGTACTTATTCGCAATAATTGCAATGGCTTTCAGCTCACCAACCACCCGTTACTGCATGTAATATTTAAATTTCGGGCCTAATCGTGGGAAAGGGGCCCATAGCCCATGTAGTGTATGGGCTCTGTATGTTGACCCATATCTGCCCTTTAAAAGCAGTGCCAGTGCATTGAAGTTTAATGAATGATCTTAATCACGTAATCAAATAATTATCCACAGATTTGACAGCATTCCATTGTCGTCTAGTCCGGTTTAGGATACCTGGCTTTCACCCAGGCGACCCGGGTTCAAATCCCGGCAATGGAATTCATTTTTCCCCCTTATTCCATTCTATTTTTTATTATACAATTATTGTTAAGGACTTTCTGTTCTATGTTTAAGTAGTATTTAATTCGGCAAATCCGCAAATGCCATCGTTACTCATCAGAGGTGAGAATTAAAGATTAAAAACTAAAAGAGACATTCTTAACCATGATATTATTTGTACAACTCTAAGCCGTGATATTATTGGCCATGAAAAGCTCATGGTTTGCAATTTTTATATGTTTGATCTTTTTTTTTTTTTTTTAAATGTATATATGTTTGATCATATTTACAACTTATCCTCTAAAAACATTGTATCGATCTGGATGTGGGGCTTAAAAGTGTAGAAGTAACATCACTAACTTTTCAAAGTAGAAGAAAAAACATTTGGGGTAACAAGTTGTAATGTGAGTCTAAACATGTTATATTAGGGCAACTTACACTTTATTTAGCATAAAAGGTGTCAAAAGACCAATTGTGAATTCCAACTAGCTAATAAACTACAATTTTTCCAACCCAAAAAAAAAAAAAAATCTAATAATCCATGGTTTCTTAAGTCAGTTAGAGTTCTTTTTTTTTTCTTTTTTTTTTCTTTTTGCCAGGAATGTTTCTTTGCTAGTATTAGTTTGCAGCCAAGTTACATGTACTTTCTTTCCGTCCTCTCTGCAGGAGAAACAAATTACTACAAAACGTCCTTTCAAAAAAACAACTATAATAAATGCAGCCGTATGGTATTTTATTCAGAGAAATATTAGTATTATTTTTTTTATCACTTTTTTATCAATTTCTGTATTTACTATTTGATTCGTGAATCTCATTTTTATTTAAATAATAATATATTATATTAATGCATTTTACAAATTAAATAATAAAAATAAAAAGTGATAAAAAGAGTAACAGATAGAATGATATTGATATTTCTCTTTTATCTATTTTTTTTTTTGGGAAATGACATTTAAGTTATGTGCAACCTGATATGGGGTATGGACCCATCCGTTTTCATCAAATAATGGAATTGTTATCGTATGCTTAAGACCAAAAAAATACATTATTCTTCTATAAGTCCTGTAATCTTACGTTTACAAGTCTGATTAAACAATTCTTGTGAGGCCACATTTTCCTCATGCATAAGTATTAAAATAACTCATTGATCTGAAATATAATATTAAAATATAATCCCATCAATTATATTCGTTCAAATCCCTTTCATAGGAAGGGTCACGGTGACACCTTACCTTGCATTATTTTTGATATGGCGTGCTTAGCATGACCTTCCAAATTCCAAAATTAATAATGGGAATTTATTTTATTTATTTTTGGCGATTTATAATGCCAAATTGCATTATGAATCCAATGATAAAGCACCCCAGAAGCAGGGAAATGGTTGGCATTCCAAAAAACAAAACAAAAAAAAAACACTAAAGAAGATCCTTTTTTTTATTTTTTATATTTTGTTTTTATTATAGATTTACTAATAGGACCAATACAAAAACATCAACTTACATCTGCACAGTGACATAATTGATAATTTTTTTTTCTTTTTTTTTTAAATTCGGAAACATTAAGATTTTTTTTTTTTTTTTTTATTGGTGGTGGCAAAGATCTAGTCTGATCTAAGCAGTGACTGATGTGATCTCCACAGCAACCTTGCCAGAGTAACCCACTTCTGATTTATTCTCAACATTCCAAAGCTCTGGCAGTGCTTCCCTTATGTTGTGGATGCTCTCCAATGCATAATCAGCACCTTTGATTCTTTGTGAAGTGCCAACCTGGCCCATTTCATGTCAAAACAAAATTGTACATTAGACTACTAGAATATTATCCCTTAGTTCCATTCCCATTTTAACATTACTAATTTTATTATCAATAGTAACATATTTTTCTAATCTTATTTTTGTGGTACAAAAAGAATTAGGGGGATTTTCTTACCAGCACTGTGTAGAGGCCTACTCGTTTCCCGGCTTGGATGTTACGGACGCTATCGTCAAAAAACAACTGATGATACATAAAAAATTAGAACCACAAAATTTAAATTTAGTAGGCACACTAAAAATTTGGAGTGTTGTCGCATAATTTGTGATAGTGACGTAAAAATATTATGTTTTATCATCTTACTGTTCTCTGAGGATTGACTTTGGCGATCTTGAGAGCGCGTTCGATGGCAGACTCCGACGGTTTGCACACGATCGGTGTCTTTGGCAATGCCGAGACGGGGTTAGGTTGAGCAAAATGGCCAATGATGTCAAAAATAGCAGAGGTACCAGTGGTTGTGGTGGGATAATTGTTATGATCAGCAGAGTTGTGGTCTAATCTCACAAACTCAATGTCATCCTCATCATCAGAAGGAGCACTCTTGTGGGTGGGATTCAGAATCTCAAAGCATATAATTCCTTCAAAGCAGTCTTCTAGGCCAAGCCTTCTCAGTGATTCGGCCGCGTGGACTCTGTCTGCGTTTGTGAATATCTAATTGCATAAAATAAAAATAAAAAAAAGATAGAGAATATCATGAGAAGACAGTTTAATAAATTAGGATGCCATTGGAATTTTTATTTTTATTATTTATTTATTTATTTTTGTGGTTGAGAATGAGATGCTTACAATCCTGCGGTAAGGCAGGCTGAGCAAAAGATGCCTCAAAACAGGATCGGGTTTGAGGTTGTCATAAGGTAATCTCCCATGAACAAAACTGTTGCACATGAAAATGAAAGGTGAATTAATAATCTTTTATTAAATTAATTCATATAAATAAATAAACAAAAGGAATAGAATAGTGTTCTCTCACCTGTGATATTCATCATAGTCAAAGTCATACCCAATTGCCTGCAAAACGAAAACCCCAACAAAACAAAGGTTTTTTTTTTTTTTAGTATCAATGATAACCCCTTCTTCTTTCCTATTTAATTCAGCGTCCTGAGTTTTTAATTTGAATTAAAATATAATTTTATACGAGAATTTTTTTTTACAGTTAAAAAGTTAGATGTGATTATTTCTGAGAATTTTTTATTATAATAAAATTCAAATCGATTAAATGAATATGACCTTAATAAACAAAGGACAAAGAAACGAATTGAAAGAGGGATAAAATTTAAAATAACAAAAAAATCAAACAGACACATACCCTTAGACCAGCCATTGTGGTGCCGTAATTTTTGTAAAGCAAGTTACCCAATTGGGCAATCTTACTCTTCTCTAGCCCAAGCTTCTCAACCATATAATCTGTCAAAGAAAGGTCACAATCACCATAAATGTCACGATGCGTAACAAGACTAAAATATGACATTAGAAGTTGTAATCAAAGATTATCTTATTTGTTAGTTTATCAATTCAGAATACGTATAATAATGAAATAGAATTACCTTCTATATTATTGCGGCATGATGTGGCAAGGCCAGAGCAAAGGGGGTAAAGAGTATCATCTAAATCTGCAATTTGTAAACAATAAAATAAAAATAAAAAATAAAAGTGGTCAGCATCATTCCTTTATGTGATGTAAAATATAAAAATTGACGCTAACAATCATGTTGTCAACGAAGAAGCCAGGCTTACCAAAGAGAAGGCAGTCATATTTTGGCCTCTGAACCTGAAGGTAGCGGTCCTCAAATTCCATTTTTCTTGATCAGAAAAAAAAAAAAAGTCCTTCAAAAAAAACCAAAAAAAGTGTATTGTGAATAAAAAGGGCTCAACCATGAAATAATCAATGAATTACTTACCAACTCAAGCTTTATATAGAAATATGAATTTTGATTCCCAACTAAATATGCTCTCATATGGCCTTATTAGACTCCTATTTGACTCAGAAAAGCACTAAAAAAGAATAAAGGGTCCATAATGGTGGACAATATGAGGTCTGATTTCATCTTTTCCATGTATGAGGGATAAGGATTTGCGTAATATGTTTCTGAATGGACAATCCACAACCCCTAGTATTCATTGAAACTGGTCCAATGATTCTTTTTGAGGTTCAAAACTCAGAACATGAATCCCCCCATTTTTTATTTTTTATTTTTTATTTTTTTTAAGAAAAAGCCCAAAAGCTCCATTGGATTAATATTATTTACGTAAAAAAAAAAAAAAAAAAGCAACCAAAAATATAAAGAAAAAGTTAATTGAGCAAAGTTATGTATTTGTATTATCACTTTTAGGAAACAAATACAGGACAAGGAACGAAGTTGCCAACTCAAACTAAAGAGGAAACCCATTAGATTGTTATATAGAGAAGAAAAGAAAAGAAAAGGCCCAGAAATTCAGTATGAAATAAAAACAACGTTTTGACATGAGAACTAATAGATAGAGAGAGCTTTTCAGAGTGTCATTAGAATAAGGATAGAGAAGAAAGAGAAGACGTGTAATGGAAGAGAGGAGAGAAATGTGGAGACAATTAAAGAGAAAGTACTGAAATCAGAAAAACTTTAAACTCACCAGAGATTCAAATGGGCAAAAAAGAAAAAAAAGAAACAATGAATCTAGAGAGAGAAAGAGAAAGAGAGAGGTTTTGGGGAAAGTTTGTTACTTGCAAGGAAAGAAGTTTGAAGGGGGAAGGAGGAAGAACAGAGGGAGAGGTGGGTTTAAATAGGCAAGCCGTTGCTTCACCACCTTGAGTTTATCTATTTTTTTATTAATCAAATTTGTTTTTCTATTTATTTTTTTTTTGGGGCCATTAAAATAATTGAGCCATGTTAATCATGTTTGGTATTTTTAAATATTTCCATTTTTTCCCTGTACAGTAAGTGGGAAAGTTAAACCGAGTAGTGGTTGTACTTTCTGGACCTGCATCAGTCCAGAAATTTCCTAGTATTAGCATTCATATTCCAATGTACCGAAATTGCCCTTCAGTTGAAGCCAACTGTTGTATTTTGCCGGCTAGCTCCACGTCATCAGCCAATCACATCCGTTTATTTCGCTATTCGAGTTTTTCTACAGTAAAAAATTCTCATAAATAATCACATCTAATTTTTTGTTACAGTAAAAAACTCTCACATAAAGTCACATTTCAATTCGAATTAAAAACTCGAATCAACGAACTAAACATGCCCTGAATTTTTGACGAACTCTAAAATGAAAAATACTCAAAACTATTTTTTAATGCTCAGTGTGACTTTATCAGTGTTAAGCACTATTATTAATAAAAATAAATTTTATTTATAAATTTTATATTACAAAAATCACATGTTATTAGTAAGTGGTGCTCAATACTATCGTAATATTATTCTTTTTTCTTAATAAGAGGTGCTTTAACAATATCGAGTCTGTGTAATATTTTTTATATTTTAAAAAGCAATATCTATTTGTCTTGGTAGGATTTAAACCCCAATTCATATGTGTCAAACTTTAATGGAAAATGTTAATATCATTTTTCTTTTCAAGGGCTTCTTCCACGTATAGTGTATGTATTTTATCTAAATAGTGGCCACTTTCTGAACAATAACGTTTTACATAATATTTATGAGGGTTTTCTTTTTAAGAAAATCATAGAAATATTCCTTTTATTTGAAATGGAGATGAGATGAATTGGTGGAATCATTGGTTAAAAGTCTCTAAACACGCTTGTTCGTCTTATCATGAGATTAATGTCCCGTTTATTTCACCGATTCGAATTTTCTTACAGTAAAAAACTCTCAGAAACAGTCACATCTAATTTTTTTGCTACAGTAAAAAGTTCTCATATAAAATCACATCTCAACTAGAATTAAAAACTCGAATAAGCGAACTAAACAGACCCTAAGTTAATTAACATACATACTTTTGGAGTAATCAATAGATGGATACTTATCACAAAATTATCCTTAAAATAGTTAACTACTTATTGTAGATAGTGCTGGAACTTTGAACGGGCCGCCCGTGAGTCGTGACTGTCCGAAAAAACTGAATTTGTGTTTGACACCCGAACCCGCTCGCCCAAAAAATTCAGGCCACCCTCCAGAGCCCGAGAAGACCCTTGGACGTGCTTGGTCGAGCCCGGTCGGGCAACCCGAGCCCGCCCGAAAAAAAAATATTTTTTATTATATTTTTTAATTTTTATAATATTCTATATATATTATATATAATATATTATTATTTATTAATTGTATTTGTATATAAATAATTATTAAGTTATTTTGTATTAAAAATATATAAAAACTAAAATCAACACACATTATTAACACAATTTCAAAATTAATTTTGTATATTAATTTTTAAATTTAGAATCGGAGGGTTAAGTTCAGGTTGAAAATCGGGCAACGGTCAAAAAAAGAGTCGTTGGAGGTCGGGCTTTCAGGCGGCGGGTAAGGGCGGGCGCTAAATTTGAAAAAAAAAAAAAAAAAAAAAAAAAAAAAAACTAGCCATTGATCAGGCTTTGGGCAAGTCGGGCATTCGGGCTGGAATTCAGGCCGGAGGGGAAAAATAAACTAAAAAATAAAAAAATCGGCAATCGACGATCGGGAGCAGCAATTTGGCAGCGGGTTTCTACCATGTGATTGTTTCTCAGGCAGCCCGAACTCGAGCCTGAGCCTGATTTGTGCATGAATGGGCGGCCATGGATCCCTGCCTATCGAGCCTGAAAAATTCGGGCTTCAAACAGGCCCGCCGACCCAAAATTTCAGCACTAATTATAGATGTCAGATCAATAACAATGTTTTATTACTTAAGTCATTATATATATATATATATATTATATGTGAACAATTTTTTGCAAAACAAATTTGTGTTCACTTCATAAATTGTTTTGATGTTAACTCAATTTCTCAATAAATTGAAACTCCGGAAGAAGTGCCAAGTTGAAATGGAGATGAACTGGTTGAATATGTTTTTTTTTTTTTTTTCTTTCGTGAAAAGCTTTAAATATGTTCTTTCAAGCAAAAAGTCTTTGAGTATGTGTGCACGTATATAAATATTAGTCATCTAGACAATTCTAGAGGCGTATCAAACATGAAAGCCTACTTGCATAATTGTGTTTCCTTGCTACAAAACAAAAATCAGCATTTTTTTCTTTTTTGGTCTAAGAGAACAAAAATCAGCAATTTGATTGTCAAAAAAAGGAAAAAAATCAGTCATTTGGTATTGATCTTATTCATAGACATTTTCTGTTATGGTATTATTAATAGACAATGGGTGGGTGACAGAGGCCAAGATTGAATCTAATCAAGAAATAAAAAAAAATAGAAATATCAAATAAAACCTAGATATATTTTGCTCAACCACAAAATAAAAAAAAAAAGAGTAGAAAAAATAGAAGCCCCAAATTTTTTCTCCCACTAAACTAATCATACAATTAAAACAAAAACAAAAACAAAACAAAAAAAAACCCATTGCCCATAATTGAGAGCCTTTTACTGCTGACTTTGACAACAGGGATTGGCTTCTTTTATCTATTAATAATTTATTTTTCTAATATAAAAAAAACATGGATCAACATTCATTATTGTTCTCAATGATTTGAGATTTGAGAAGCATTTTCCATGTTCCACAACTTGTGAGCCTAACTTAAAGAGAACGCAACCATTATATGTGTTACACGCATAGACTACAGCAAGTTCTCTTCTGGGGTACAAAATAAAATTAATAAAAATATCTCCTATCCTTGTTTTTGTGGTGCAATTTTTAGTTGCCAAAAAGCATCAAATACCTTTTCTATTATTATGTTATTACAAGTACAGTAGTGGATAGGTTTCTACTTCAGTATGTGATTGAACTGATTATAATACATCCAGATCCGTTTCTGAATTCATACCTTCATAATTGAGTGGTATCTAATTTTTATTATTCATATCTCTGATATCAAATCCACTTTTCTATGCATTTTTCCTTTTTGGAGGTATTAGAATTTGGGGAGCATTTTATTAATAAACATGACCTGGCAAGTGACTGGAAGAAAATGAAATATAATGGGATTTATTCTTCCTAAACGCTGTATTCTAGATATATACTAGCTGTGAACCGCACATTACTGCGAGCAATACTGTTATATTATATAAAAAATTAGAGATTTTTATAATATATGATTAATTTATATATATGTTCACATACATATATATACAAATCATATACTACTTCAAAGTTTCTTACAATGTAATATTATTGTTGTTTTGCTTCTTTCTTATGTTCTTCTTAATTGTAAAATATAAATTAAAAAATAATAATAAAAATAATTAAAGAAGTTCAAAATTTTTATTTATCTTTATTGTAAATTAAACGATTTAGAAGTAATTATATTACCAAGTCCTTGGGGGTTTTCTGGATTGTTCTATTGCCTTTGATTGAGAACTGAAATAATAGAAAATTGTTTAGATATGTATTTAAAGATGTAAATATTGTTATTTATTGATAAATGATTAGAATTAGTAAATATGTCTTACCTTGTGCTTGATTTTTTTGGGTTTGGTTTTTGTGGATCTATTGTGGTGGGAGCTGATATTTGTAATGGTGGTGTTAGATATTAGATATTTGTTGCCTTTGATTGAAAGCTAAAATGGTAAAAAAAATTTAGATATGTATTTAAAATAATAAATATTGTTTTTTATATATAATTGATATAAATTAGTAAATATGTCTTACCTTGTGGTTGATTTTTTTGGGTCTGGTGTTTATGGATCTTCTGATGTCACAGCTGATATTTGTCTTGGTGGTATTGTAGGCTGGATATCTTCAAATATTTTTGAAACAATTGTACTCATTTGTGCGCCTTTTTGTTGAAAATAAACTTGAAAGATTTTTGTTTGTCCTCTCAACTGAGTAATGACTGATGGAATTACAAATGGATCAGTGAAGCCTTCATAAATTGTTAATGTAAAGCATGATTCTTTTTATTAATGTTTGTGCTACTTTGCCAAATATGGTGATGTCCATGTCTCCAGTATCATCTTCAATTTGTACATTTAATTTGTACCTATAATAGATATGTTGGGAGTTGATTAATGTAGTAATTTATCTATTATAATTATTGAGGCCATGACTATCACACCACCAACCGATCCATGTTTACTTTTACTGTCGATAATATCTGGGGTAAGAATCATAATACCAATCTTAATTTGTTGAAAATACAGTTATTGTACCTCTTATTGTGAATTTTGCACCCTGAATAAATAAAGAAAACTTATTAGCTTGAATAGTGACATTAAGAAGAAAAAGGAAGAAAAAAGTTAATAATATTAACCAAATTGCTTTCTGGATCTAATGTTTTTAGCTCATTGATTGTCTTTTTGTTTTCTGCTTTTTGTTCTTCAATTGATTGCATTCGTGTTGTTGATGTTGGTAGGAATTCAATCTCTTGACTTTGGTGGGAAAATCTGTGTATGTAAAAGTAACAATAATTAGATGAAAAGGTGATTAAAATTTTTAAATATGCGGTAGAATAGGTTTTTTCTTATCTTCAATGTTTTTGTCTCTGGTATATCTGGGTCGATGTAGAAAATTGTTGCTGCGATACTTGAAACATAAGGATTGCTTGAGATATTAATAGTAAATTAATTAGTATTTTGATCTAGGTGTTGTGTTTATATGTGTAATTATTATGATAAAGTGTTGGGAAAATACCTAGCTATTGTTTCACTAATATTACTGTAAAA